CATGCGAAGCGTTTGAATACAGTTGATTTCTTGGAAGTCGCCCTCCCACTTTGAACAAGACTCGTTCGTATAGCGCGTATGTAGAAAATAGTACGTGTTAAGCTTTAAATACCCGCAGTAAAACCAAAACACTAAAATATTTTTAACCCCACTTAAGCTTTTCATATGCATGAGAATTGTAACTAACCATTTGGGAGGCCAAACTAGCAATACAAGATTAAATTTCAAAAACAAAATAAAATTATTGTATATATATATTTCTTACAATTCATTTTTTAATGTATATCTTTAAGAGCAATTCTATAGATGAAACAATATTAGCAAAAATAAAAATAAATAAATAAATAAATAATATTTGGGTAAATATAGGGAAGAGACACGCAAGTGTTGAGCAAACGTTTTCTTCTCTCTTTAATTTATAATAAATAATATATATATGAATAGATTATAGAGTTGTAATTGTTGATGCGGAAATCCTCACGACTAGGAACGACGGCGTTTACCTGCAAAACAAAGGGACATCACCTCGAATGGCACCGGTGGGGTGCCGGCCGAGGACCCTCTGACGATCAAGTTAGTACTTGTAATCGTATTACGTAATAATTATGTATATTTTGTTTAGGAGTTTTTTCTCGTACCTTCTTTAACGGCTTGGTGCCCTATTTATGGCTGTCGATTGGAATCAGATTGATCCCGCGGGAGATCGGCTTATGCGAGATCAGAGGAGATCGATTGTTGCCAGATTTGTCGGGATAAGATTTACTCATTTGACTTCCTTAAATTGTACCAAGATGATCCTTACCCTGTTGAACCACGTCATCATTCATTATCCTGGATAAGAAATGTCATCATTCTTATCCGAGGAAAATCTTTATCTTTGATAATGAAATATGTCGAAGAAGTCTGGCGGTTGGTCAAGGTAGGTTATTTTTCCCTATCAGTTGCCCCTCATTCCTAAACTTGCTCGTCTAGCTTTGGGAATGTCAAATTTTTTTTTTTTTTAATCTTCTTGCCCTAGGAACAGTACCCGCGGGTACTGTTCATATGAATAGTAACAAGAAATTTTTTTTTTCTTGCCTTGGGAACAGTACCCGCAAGTACTATTCCCGCGGGTACTGTTCATATGAACAGTAACAAGAATTTTTTTTTTTTTCCTCTTGCCCTGGGAACAATACCCGCGGGTACTATTCTTGGTACCCTTGGGTATTCTGCCCCTTGGTACTATTTTTAGTACCCTTGGGTACTCTGCCCCCGGGTACCATTTTTGGTACCCTTGGGTACTTTGCCCCGGGGTACTATTTTTAGTATCCTTAGGTACTCTACCCCTGGGTACTATTTTTGGTACCCTTAGGTAATTTTCCCTTGGGTACTATTTTTAGTACCCTTGGATACTCTGCCTCTGGGTACTATTTTTAGTACCCTTGGGTAATCTTAATAGTACCCTTGGGTACTATGCCCCTGGGTACTATTTTTAGTACCCTTGGGTAATCTTCCCTTTGGGTGCTCTACCTCTGGGTACTATTTTTAGTACCCCTAGGTAATCTTCCCTTGGTAAAGGAATAAATTGTATGAGCTTCACTCAGCTCGTCACTCCTTTAATAAGGGAATTAAATTTTACGAGCTTTACTCAGTCCGTCCCTTTAGTAAGGGAAGTAGGTTTTATGCGCTTCACTCAGCCCTTCCCTTTAGTAAGGGAAATAGGTTTTACGAGCTTCACTCAGCCCGTCCCTTTAGTAAGGGAATCATGTTTTACGAGCTTCACTCAGTTCATCCCTTTAGCAAGGGAATCATGTTTTACGAGCTTCACTCAGCTCGTCCCTTTAGTAAGAGAATCATGTTTTACGAGCTTCACTCAGCTCGTCCATTTAATAAGGGAATTAGGTTTTTTTGTTACTCCTTTGGTAAGGAGTTTGTAATATGTTCAAGTTTCACTCAGCATGCCCTATTAATAAGGGAAATAATAATACATGACACTTGTTATCATCCCTTGTAATACGGGGATATTGATTACTGGATTAATTCGGCCCGGATCCTTATAATACAGGACACTCATTATCATCCCTTATAATACGGAGATATTGCAACTTTAATAAAGGGTTATTTTTTACGAGCCTTACCCAGCTCGCCCCTTTAATAAGGGGATATTTTGCCCAAGCTTTATATGCTTGCCCTTTAATAAGGGAGTCAAAGTTTTTCACTTTCGTGGACTTATCCTTTGTGACTATGGTATTGGTAGTGACCCGTCAAATTTGAAGTTCATGTGACTAAGCTTGGTTCTAGGTTGAAAAGACCATCATTAGTGCTTAATGGTTAAAAACCTCATGGGACCACCTTAGACATGGTGGACTCATTGATTGTAGAAACTTTATTGGACTTAGAGTCATTCCCGGTGTGTAGAGACTTTTTTAGAGGATCGGGCACTGGTTTTGGACAACTAGTTTCCCCGAGGGGTCGATGAAAGAGAGAAGTTAGAAAACCGACTAGCTCAATGTGCCAAGGTTGGTACGTCAATCTTCTAAACCTTGTCATCATATGTAGATCGACGATTAATATCGTGTGATCCACTATTCTGCCCCCAATGTGGGATCTTGGGTGATGACCCATTCTATAGACGTTTATACAGCGGATGGAGTGCCTGGTGCTGCAATAATTTACAGTTGTCTAAAAACATTAGATTGTGTTAGAAATAATTATTGAAAATTAACCTACAATGGATTATCAATCCAAAATTCTACATAATCTAAAGTCGATAGGCAATTCCTGCAAGGGAAGAGAGGTGACGACTGTCGTCTAGTAGGTAGAGGCTTAGTATCCAGCGACTGGCTTGATGCCTAGTGGATATGGGCGTGGTACCCAATGGCTGACAGATGACGGTCTGGTGGCCAGTACCAGATGACGGTCTGGTAGCCAGTACCTCGTTGGGTCCAATGATCACCGTTAACTTAGGAACCTCCTTGAGAATACAGACCTTATTGGACATGGGATCTTGAGGGACATTGGACCTCCTTGGACCTGAAGGGCTCGATACATTCTTTGGTGTAGAAGTCCACCCTGATTGCACGAACGGACGGAGTAATGAGACTCCGTTGCTAGAGACATCTTCAGTAGTAAAGGCTTTACTAGTAGGTAGAGACCCCCTTGTTGGTAGTGATCTTCTTGATGAGTGGAGACCTACCCATTTATGTAGGTGCAGGAGGACCAGGCCTTAGTCTTCAACGATCAGGCCCTGGTAATTGGCTGCTGCCCGATATGAGATAGAGTCTGGTCTTAGACGACCAAACCTCAGTAGTGAGGGGACCAAACATCGCTAGATAGAAAACACCACATTGGACTGCATGGGTCAACGTGCCAAATTTTGATTATTGTTATCGTACACTGGATGGCATCACGCAACCCACCGTTCTGCCCCCAGTATAATGGACGGGTAGTCAGGATGTAGAGTCCCGTCCTTATATAAAAACATAGAAACCCGTTGTCAACTGATGACTTTGGGATGGTTTTCATGATCGAAAACTTTCGTCTTGCCGTTTGAGCCAAGTCGCGTCAGGATTATTATTTCTTCAGAGAACTAATCGTTTCCATAGACGGCGCCAGCTGTTGACGCGGAAATCCTCACGACTCGAAACGACGACGTTTACCTGTAAAACAAAGGGACGTCACCTCGAATGGCACCGGTGGGGTGCCGGCCGAGGACCTTCCGACGATCAAGTTAGTACTTATAATCGTATCACATAAAAATTATGTATATTTTGTTTAAGAGTTTTTTCTCGTACCTTCTTTAACGGCTTGGTGCCCTATTTATTGCTGTCGATTGGAATCAGATTGATCCCGCGGGAGATTGGCTTGTGCGAGATCAGAGGAGATCGATTGTTACCAAATTTGTCGGGATAAGATTTACTCCTTTGACTTCCTCAAATTGTGCCAAGATGATCCTCACCCTGTTGAACCACATTGTTATTCATTATCCTGGATAAGAAATGTCATTATTCTTATCCGAGGAAAATCTTTATCTTTGATAATGAAATATGTCGAAGAGGTCTAGCGGTTGGTCAAGGTAAGTTATTTTTCCCTATCAGTAATATATATGTTGTATCTAGGAAGAATATGCAATAATAATTAAGATGTTTTTCATGAGATCTAATATTTTAAAAGCAAGTTAAATTCAACCACTTTAAATAACCAAAATAGGTCACCAGACTCACCATAAAAACGACATTTCTAAGAATTTGGGAGGTCCAAACAATTTAATTTTCCTACACAATATCGCTATTAGTAGTCATAAATAGATAGCATTAATCGAGTTTAAATTAACTACCATTGCCTGGTCTAACGTTTGAAACAAGTGCACCACTGGTTTTACTAATCACTGGTGCCAAGAAACTCATTATTCACTGGTCATCCGTCTAAATTAATCTCTTGATACATTATTCTGTCTCCAAAATGCAAGATGACACTCAACAAGCCTTTGGAAATAATAATTCTACCAAAAACAAACAAAATATCATAAATTTGGTTATTATTTAATTTGTCAGCCCAAACCCAAACCCATATTATTTTGATTTGCAATTTCTAATCCAAGTCGAAGCGCTAGAATTAGTCCTTGGTAGTCGCCCTCTCACTTTGAACCAGACTCGCTCGTAAAATAGTATAGCATTAATTGAGTTTAATTAAATTAACGACCATTGCCTGGTCTAACGTTTGAAACAAGTGCACCACTAGTTTTACTCTAGAAAGACAGACAGACAACGTGGCTGTAACAATTATGTATGTGCATGTAGATATATATATATATATATATTCCTCACTCGGTTTTGATCACATGGTTACGGTCAATTCTCTCTTCTCTCCAAGAATTTATATATATATATATATGCAAAGTCGACCCACGCCACATATATGTATGGAAATTTCCATATCACAACACATTGTTGGTCTGCTATGCCTATAAAAGGACCCTTGCTCCTCAAAACATTTCATACTTGATTACATCATCCTCTCTATCTCTATCTCTCTAGCTTTATACATATATCTCTTCTCTCTAGTAATTTTATTGCACACACTAAATCTCTCTCTCTCACACGCATTTAATTAAGATCATGAAGGTTGAAGTACAGAAAAGATATGCTTTGCTACTAGCAGCAAAGGATTCTGAGTATGTGAAGGAAGTGTATGGTGGCTACTTCAATGTGTTTGTTGCAGCTTTCGGGGAAGAAGGAGAGAGGTGGGACTTGTTTAGGGTTGTTGAAGGAGAGTTCCCGGACATGAATGAGCTCCAAAACTATGACGGCTTTGTGGTCAGTGGTAGCCCTTTCGATGCCTATGGCAATGACCCTTGGGTCCTCAAGCTTTGCTTTCTTTTGCAAACCCTAGACTCCATGCATAAGAAAGTCCTTGGTATTTGCTTTGGACACCAGGTAATAATTTATATATATAGTAGTACTTTTCACATTGTGTATATAATTAATTCATATTGTGTTTACTACTAATATATACAGTATTTGATATATTCATTGAAAAGAAACTAATCCATGGTGTTATATATATATATATACAGGTTTTGTGCAGATCATTGGGTGGAAAAGTTGGGAAGGCTAACAGTGGTTGGGATATTGGGCTTAGAAAAGTGAAAATTGTGAAAGATTTCTCCCCATGCAGTTTCCTTGAAGGCTCAGAAGAAATCCCAGCATCCCTTTCGATCATTGAATGCCACCAAGATGAGGTATGGGAGGTTCCTGTGGATGCTGAAGTGATTGCATATTCGGATAAAACCGGTGTGGAGATGTACACCATCGGAGACCACATTTTAGGGATTCAAGGTCATCCAGAGTATACCAAGGACATTCTTAACAATCTCATCGATCGTCTTCTCACAAACGAATCTATAGAGGTACGTACTAATTAAGTTTGTTTCTTACTCCATTAGTTTTTCATATAACTTCATTTCCCTTTCTGTTGAGCTCATTTTGGTTGCTTCATTAATTATTACTTGCAGAAAGGTCTTGCTGAAGAGGCCAAGGCGAAATTGCAGATAGCCGAACCAGATAGGAAGTGTTGGGGAAAGATTTGCAGAGGCTTCCTCAAGGGCAGATGAAATTAACTAGCTAATTAATTGCAAATACAGCCAAATTACTTTTGTTTTGATATCTTTATTCGTTTTATATAACCACCTTGGTTATATAGTATTTACTAAAAAAATAATTTTTAAATTTACAAAAATAGAAAACTTGGTTACATTTGCATACTCTTTGATCCGATAATGAAGAAATAAATATTTACAATAACATTGATTCTACATTAACATATCATGTGTGTCCATTACATTTGTCTTACAAGTTAAACCTAGGAGAACCATTTGTGAAATTCCAGCAACTTGTTCGGATATATAATATGCCAAAACATGGTATGAAAGGGATGGTCGATCACTCTGCCATTCATTTGAGCAAACAATTTACACAATAGTTGAAGCGAAAGGAACTTGACTCTGAACGATGATTTTGCTATCATAATGATGAATTTTTTTGAAATTTCGGACAAAAAATTCCACTATAAACATTATGAAGAGGATTTCAAATTGTTGGAAAAAAGAAAAAAGAAAAAAAAAAAAAAATTTTGAGAAATTAACTATAATTAATGTGGGTTCCACCGAAGTACATTTTTGTGCAGTTTTTTCAATGGTATGCATGAAGAAAAATTCTTTTGAGATGTAAAAATTCTAGGGTCCAGCCAACTAAGACATTTCTTATGTTTAAATTTTAATTAATCAATAAGACGAAAAGAAGAAGATTGACTGCTAGACAAAAAGTATGACATGGATGTGAACCCAAGAAATAGAATTCTAAATAAGAGAAAGGGTACAAGTCTCTTTCTCATTATTATTATTATTATTATTTTAATTTCACATTTACCTGTCTTTATTAAAATTCGAACTCTTTATCTCTTTTTAGGAGATAAGAGCCTGATATCACTAGACCACTAACCCCTTTGATGTATCTTTCTCATTATTCATGTCTTGTTAGTCAAATACTATCATAAAATTTTAAATTTCTTAAAGAGGGTTTGATATAATTTATTTATTTTTAGTTGGACGGGCAGAGTGCCAAACGTGCAAATATATGATCAATTGCCGCACAAAAAATCCAATAGTATGATCACTTGGGCTCTACTTTTCTTTTGCGCGCCACATATTTGATAACCGGTTAGAGATATTTGAAGTGTACCGGATATGTTTTTCGAAACATGTCCAAAGGAAACATCGGTGTTTCATAATACTTTGGCACTGACACACTATAGCTCAAACATTATAGCATGCTTTTTTAAGCGGTAATTTTGTGAGACTAACATTTTGACATTATTAAACATATTTTTATATTTTTACTTTTGAAAATCTTGTAACAGATTTTAGGCTTCCAATTATAAATAAACACACACGAAGAATAAAAATTAGAAGTGCAACTTGAGTTGGGTAATCCAAACCCAACTCGAGCCCAGTCCGTTTTTTCATAGATTTGGGTAATCATTTTTATAATTAGGGTTGGGCTTAGATTGACATTCTTTCTAGATTGGATGAATGAGAAAAATATTTTCCGGATAATATGCAAGAACATAGTATGAAAGGGAGGGCCACTCTGCCAGTCATTTGAGATAACAATATAGACACAATATATAGTTGGAGTGAAAGGAAATTGACACATGAAAAATTCTACCATTATTAATAGGATTGACAAACCAAAATTAATATGGGTTTCACTGAAGTACTTGATTTAATGATATAAACATTTAATTGAATTCAAAATATGTTGCATTTCATTCCAAAAAAAAAAATTTATTTTTTATTTTTTATTTTTTTATTTTTTGAAGCAATTCAATTTAGCAAGTGAAACATACTACGTAACTTGATCTAAATTAATTTTACACATAACATGAACTGAGACTGTCAAAATGGTAAATGATCTCCTTGGGCCCAAATGTAACCTTTCAGTATATATATATATATATATATATATATATATATATATATATATATATATATATATATATATATATATATATATATAACTTGATCTAAATTAATTTTACACATAACATGAACTGAGACTGTCAAAATGGTAAATGATCTCCTTGGGCCCAAATGTAATCTATATATATATATATATGAAGATACAAGAAATTTCTTTCTCTATTTGGACAAAATATCCTTACACTTCAAGATTTTTCAACCCCTTTTCCCTCTGTTTACAGCCTATTTATAGACTGTTACAGACCTTCTGGACATTTTCTAACTAACTCCTTGCATTGGGCTCATTCATTGGGCTTCTCTAGTCATGGGCTTGATCACTTCCAACAGGCCTTCAGCTTGATTCTTCAATCTTGGGCCTGACCTGCGAGAACTTGGTTTTGTCTAAGATCACTTACCCGGCCCGTTTCTAGCCGCATGGGACGTACCCGGCCCGTGCCATTTTCGGCATCCTCATCTGTCCCCATAATCTCCCCCTAATTAATTAGGGTGAAATTATCAATGGGAGCTAATCATGATTTGGTGGCTTGGGGTGATTACGTGGAGGAACGAGCAGTCGGCTAAGGAATAAACGTTTTCGAAATTCGAAATCTCTTTACCTTCCTGACGTCTCGGTTATTGGGTTCACCTTTCTTTATAAACCCCCAATACGTATTCTCAACCTTCTTTGCTGTCTCTATCACATCTCGCTATCAATCAACTCACTGTTCATCCTTTCCAGCAAATCAAATCTTCCCCCGGTGAATCCCTATGAAAGATTCTTCCTTCTCGGCTACTTTGCAGCATCTTTTGCAACCTCCAATCTCATAAGGTTAGTTTTGTTTCCCTTTCTCTTTTAAAACTTTATACTTCCTTGGGGATTGTGTTCGTCTTTACCATGCCCATCGATATAGACATTCTTTGCATGAAAATCCAACTCCCTAGCAACATCCATATTAGGGAGTGTCCCAAGAATGTAGACATTAGAACTGGTGCCGGCCTTCTTCCTGGTGAAATCTTATTTTCCATCCTTCACCTTAACATTATTAAATTCCCTTTGCATCCTTTTTTCAGTTACGTCTTTGATAGGTTGAGACTTTCCCCTCTTCAAGTAAACCCCAATTTTCTTAGGGTTCTGTCCGTTCAGCTGTTTTTGAACCGTGATAGGGGTTTAGATCTTACTATTATAGATCTTCTTCTCTGTTACAAAGTCAGCAAGATCAGGTTAGATGACATGTATTACCATTTTTACCCTATTATAAAAAGATCCATCTGTACGGATAAACTCGACTCTGAGAAAGGGTGGAAGAAGAACATAATTGGGTTTCGGGGGGCTTGGTTTGCTCCGGCTGCTAAGGATTACCCCGTCCTGAACGTCTTCGGTGAATACTCTATTTCTTCCTACAAAAAATTCAAGACCCATAAGAGTGATTGCCCTTGTGAAATTTGCACTCCTCACTTCTGTTCTTTTGTTTACAATTCTTTAGGTATTCCTCATAATGAACTTAATTACAGCATTTGCAGGGATAGGATCAACCACCTGAAGGAATACGTTCTGAGCAACGTTCCTTCTTGCTCGGAACTCCTTGTGTCGGAGAATCTCAGCGATATTTCACTCCTCGGCACGACCATGAGTCAGCTCCGAATCCCTTCTTTCAGCAGAAGGAAAGACCCTCCTAGGAGTATCACCGCTCCTACCCTTGCTTCCTCTCCAGCCTCGGCATCCGCTTCTGCCACCACTTCCAGCACCAGCCGAATGTTGTGGTTGTCACCAACCCAGTTGTCAACGCTTAGCCTGTCAATCTGAGCACTGCTCCAGGGGCCAATAACCCTTCAAGAGTTACTGCTCCTGTCCAAAATAAGGAACGAGGGAAGAGACCTCAGCCTAATAGTGAAACCAACCCCAATGACATCCCTCTCTCAAGAAGGATCCAACCCTTTAGGGTGGGTGAATCCTCAATTCCCCAGACCATGGCTATCAGCACTCCTGGAACTGGTGGAACTTCTACCTCCCTTCCTGAACTAGTTCCTTGGAACCCTTGATTCATTCGAGCAAATGGGTCGATTCTCAACACAAATGACACTATGTTCAAGGATGGCCCAACCGCCATGGCTTATTACAAGAACTTATGGTCCCCCAAAGACATCGAGGTGGCTAAAGTGTTGACCCAGAAGGAAACGTTCAGCCGTTTTCCCCTGGCCGCTATGGAGGTAATTCTTAATCTCTCATTTGGTAAGATTAAGTAAACCTTTATACACTAATCTCTTTGAATATACGCTCGGCTTAATTAGTGCTCGTGCATTTATTTGCAGACTTTGTTTGGGATGATGACGATGTAGAAGAATGTCGAGTCATCCAATGCCTGAGTGCGTAGGCTTGCTAGTGCGCTTGATGCGGCCAACAAAGAGAATAAAATCATCAGCACCAAGAACGCCGAACTGATGGTGCAACTGAACAATGTTGAGAAAGAAAGGGACATTCTGAAGAAGGACGCAGGTTCCCTTCAAGATGAGAAAAACGCTCTTCAAACTGAGAAGGATGTCATGCTGACCGAGCGAGAGGCTCTGAAGGCAGAAAAAGATAATCTCCAGCGCTTGTTGGATGACAAACGGTCAACGCGGCTAGCTCTTGAGAAGAGAGCTTTGGATGAAGGTGAAGCCTTGCTCAGTGTCATAGGCAGGGTTGATGGAGGAATGAGGGCTCTCCATACTCGTTTATCTTGAATCGGAGCCCTCAGGTACGCTGAAGGGTACAAAAACGGCTACATCGACCATTCTCCTCCTGAAGGTCAGACCAGTTCATATGCCGGCCCTAATGATGTTGACAAAGAATTGAAGATCAACCTTCCCGGAATCTATGCTGACCCAGACCCCACTCCAGACGAGCACATCTTTGAAGAATGCCAAGAGATTGTTTCCTCCAATGTCATCCCTATCCCCTCATCTGATCAGCCTCTGGATGTTCTTCCTCTATCCACCATGATTCTCCCTCCATCTATTACCGAGGGTGAAACGCAACAGAATGAAGTGATAATCTAGCTCGACTCTCCTTCCCAAGGAGATGGGACAGTTAATGATAGTGACGAAAATGCTGAGCATGGTCAGGAGATTGAAGAAACTGA